CACCTGGATTAACTACACTGATGGTAGAACCCTCCCATTAGCAGAGGTAGTGTCTGCCGCTGTGTATATCTGTGCCACTGTAGCATTTCAAGTATAGACAAGCCCTTAGACTCTACAGCACAAAACTCTCTGTTCAGGACTGTGACTGCTCCCTTGCTATCGTTAGGGTGTGTGTACACGCACTCACACACACACACGCTTTTGGGAAATGTGATCAAATTTTGTGCAACCATTTTTGAGTTAGTTTGAGTGTGAAAATGTACTTTTCCCCCATGTGTTCTGAGATCAGAAACTTTGCACTTGGGTAATTCTGAGCAAGAGTTAGAAACTTTAAAGTTGGCTTCTTCTCTATAGGTCATTGAGACTTGATTCCCTTTACCAATGCTGCAAGCACACACAAAGTATATACAACATTTGTAAGCCCATTTTGAGCATGAAACGGATGCTGTTGAATATCATCTAGCATGGGGGTACTTTTTGCTCTGTTTGCATCATTTCCTATGGTTTCTCTAATTCTGTTATAAGAGTTCTTCAGTTAAAAAAACCTCACATTCTGCCTCTCTTCTCCTTGCCTTTATTAACAGGGGCATGAATACAGGGTCTTTGGTTTATTTTTTATTTAATTATCCATATATTTTAGTGTCTATTCCTGCTGCTTATTCCGCATTTGAAACCGTAAACCCTGTGTTTGTGACATTGTAGATAGCTGCTGTGCAAGTGAGTCACAAATGGAGGATTAGGATTTCAGGTGGCAAATAAACTGTGGGAGCTGATGAGCTCTTGAGAACAGGTGTATCTCTCTCTCCTACAAATGGCCTTGATTCACCCCACCCCCCCACAAATGAGCAGATGAGTCACAGAGTGTTCTTTCAAGGTTTTCCTGTGGGGTCAGCTGCCCTTTTTTGTGCTTGAAATATTTTTCATTTTGTAAAGGGTTGGCAGTCATGCAGGAAAGAACAGGGATTACGTCCATGAAATTACGCACACCCGTTTATATTATAATAGAAAACTTGATCATTATATAACTCAAAGTAAAGACTGTATCCTCTCAAAATCTTAACTTATCTGTTTTTTTCTAAAAGAGCTTCTCTAATTCTAACAGGAATTGTTTCGGGGAAGGTCTTTGACCTGTGTTATATAGGAGGTCGGACTAGATGATCACAGTGGTCCCTTCTGGACTTAGAATCTATGACTCTTCCAGATAGTACATAAGAGCGGCCACACTGGGTCAGACCAATGGTCCATCTAGCCCAGTATCCTGTCTTCTGACAGGGGCCAATTCCAGATGCTTCAGTGGGAATGAACAGAAGAGGCAATCACCAAGTGATCCATCTCCTGTTGCCCATTCTCAGCTTCTGGTACTCAGAGGCTATGGATGCCCAGAGCCTGAAATTGCATCCCTGAACATCTTGGCTAATAATCATTGATGGACCTATCCTCCTGAACTTATCTAACTCCTTTTTGAAACCTGTTATAGTTTTGGCCTTCACAACATCCCCTGGCAATGAGTTCCACAGGTTGACTATGTGTTGAAGAAGTACTTCCTTATGTTTATTTTAAACCTGATGCCCATTAATTTCATCAGGTGACACTTGATTCTTGTGTTATGTGAAGGAGTAAATTAAACTTCCTTATTCACTTTCTCCTTACCATTCACGATTTTATAGACCTCTGTCATATACCCCCTTAGTCGTTTCTTGTCCAAGTTGAACAGTTCCAGTCTTTTTAATCTCTCCTCATTCTGTCGTCTTATCTATCCCTTTCTGAATGGTTCTTAACATTCTGTTCGCTTTTTTGACTGCCGCTGCGCATTTAGCGGACATTTTCAGAGAACTATCCACAATGATTCCAAGATCTCTTTCTTGTATGGTAACAGCTAATTTAGACCCCATCATTTTGTATGTATAGTTGGGATGATGTTTTCCAATGTGCATTACTTTGCATTTATCAACATTGAATTTTAGCTGCCATTTAGTTGCCCAGTCACCCAGTTTTGTGAGATCCTTTTGTAACTCTTCTTGGTCTGCTTTGGACTTAACCATCTTGAGTAATTTTATATCATCTGCAAATGTTACCACCTCACTGTTTACCCCTTTTTCCAGATCATTTATGAATATGTTGAACAGCACCCGTCCCAGTACAGATCTCTGGGGGACACACACCATTATTTACCTCTCTCCATTCTGAAAACTGACCATTTATTCCTACCCTTTGTTTCCTATCTTTTAACCAGGTATTGATCCATGAGAGGACCTTCCCTCCTTTCCCATGACTGCTTATGAAATCTACTGTATGAAATCTATAAAGTCTACTTTAAGGCCCCAGTCTAATTGAGTCCACATGGACAGACCCTTGCACCTGTCTGGAGCCCAGTTAGCCTGTGTACAGACACAAGGGTCTGCCTATACAGATCCAGTTGAAAGACTGAAGCTGAAATTTGCCAGTGCACTAAGATCTCTATATCACTTGGCTATACTTAGCCCAGATGGAGTCTTCTCCCCCCTCACTACATTCCACTTTGCTGTGAGAGGTGCTTTCAACAAGAGTTCCTTCCGCAGGTTATTTAAAGACAGGATGCCTTCCATACATTGCAACACCAGCCTTCCCACCCCCGTTCCTGGGCCACTTGAGATATCGCTATTAAGTGTTGTTTGTCTTCTCTTCAGTTTGATAATCACTCAGGGCGGCTGCTCTTTACAGCACACTGACTGCATGGGGCAGCTTGTTTGAGTTAAACCTTTCTCTTCAATTTGGAATGGCCTGCGTAAAGATAGAGGATTCCTTTTGGGTAGGTGGCCATGTGTAGCCAAAGGCATTCTAATGTGGTCTGTGACCACCTCTCCCACTGAGATCAAGGTGGAGCTTCCCATGGCACCGTAATCTCTATGAGCCTCACCTTCATATTGAAGATGAGGGCTTCTGCAGTCGGCTCTACTTTGTGCCAAAGTGTGCTTCTTGGGGTCCTTGTATGTTCCTCAGTGGTTCTGGGTACCATGAGACACCTGGGGGCTGATTTGCAGAAGTGCAGAGGATTCACACCTGCAGCTGAAGTTGACTGGAGCTCTGCTTTGGCCTCCTAAAGTACTATTAAAATGCTGAACACTCTGAAAAATTGGACCCTGGGCATCATGAATTGGTCACTTGGCAATTTTGTCAAATAGTATTTTGAAAATCTAGCTGGATCTCAGTTCCTCAGCTGGAAAATGGGGATGACGCCATCCCCACCCCCTCCCCCCGCTCTCTAGAGTGTTATGAAGATAAATCCCCTAACGTTTGTGACTCGCTCAGGTGGTGAGAGCACCGTACAAATGCCTGGGAGGAAATTAGTCATATTGTATTCAGTGCAAGGATGGATGGTGTGCGTTAAATAACGCCCGGGACCACACATTGAATGAGGAGGATAAAGCCACTCTCTGAAGGAGGCAGGGATCCTGTGAGAACATAATACATGATCATGCAGTTAAAGACTGTGTCCTAATGCATACGCACAGGGGGCTGTATTAAGGTTGCACAGTTTACCTTAAATCTAGCGTTTTTAAACTCTGGAGTGCTTGACTTTTTGCAGCCTTAATCTTTTGTCTATTTATTTTTAGATGTAATCATAGGATAGAATGGGGTGAAGGAGCATCAGGTGTTCCTGCAGTTACATAGGCTGCCTGCATGTACAATTTGACATGTGTTGAAATATTTAAAAGATATAAATATATATTGGCAGTCCCCACCGCGCCCTCTCAAGCTGGGATCAGTTGATGTACAGGGACTTCACAGCAGAAGTGGGGTTTGGGGAGGGATTTGAAGAAGGAAGACGGTCAGGGCTTTATGTGCTAATTCAGGGAGAGTCCTGTGTGTAAGGGGCAGTACTGGGAAAGTGGGAGCTGGTGGAAACTGCAACATGGTGAAAACAGGCCAAGCGGATGGTTTGATGTTAGCAGCTGCAGTTGGATGGAGCCAAGCTGGGTGCAAAGAAGAGGTTATAGGAGGCTGATCAGTAGGACTTTCCGCTTTAGATGGCTGTCTGATTGGAAGGACCAGGGGAAGTGTTAGTAAATGTGATACTATAAATCAGTATTTAAAATTCCTTTTGGCACTTCCTAGTGTTGCTCCTACAGCCACTGGTGGGCCTTCATTTGCAGGCCTCAACCAGTGAATTTCAGTCAGAAAACAGCAGTCTCTTTTTGAAAGAGAATGTGACAAAATAACAGAAGCAGATTTTATGCCAAACCAGGTTTAAAACAGAGCTGCGGCCGGCAGCTTTGCAGGGGGATGTTTAATCAGGTGGGTCTGATACAATTGACCATGGAGGGCCGTAGCATTCGGCACACTTGATCATCCCACCAGCAGTGGCCAGTACTTCAGATGGAGGCAAAAATTCCTAACAGCCTCCTCCTAACCTTGATTGCCCATTTAAAAAACTTTCCAAGAAGCACCTTCACGCTTTCTCCCACACGGGTCCTTGTGCACGGGAGGAGCCTCAGGAGCTTCTGCAAGGATGCCAGGTCTTCCCTCAGAGCTCTCCTTAAAACACTTCTCAGCCATGATTCCTACAACCCACTCGACAGTATCATCGTATTGTTTCCTCATATACTCCCATCTGTCTTCATCCGCCTGTTGTCTGTAGTTTTGTACTTTGGTGCAGGGACCTATGTGTGTGCCACAGTAAAGTCCTGGCCTCCAGGTGCTCCTGCAATACAAATAATGCATAATAATGACCAATGGTGCAGTGTGAGGCCGACTTTCTTGCAGGACTAATGACTAACTGCACAGTGGAGACTGAATTAGCTTCTCAGCCCTACCGGTTCCTCCAGATCAAGGCTGAGGCGCGTGGGTGGAAGTGGGTCTGTGCACTGCTTCAGTTTTAAGCACCGTCAGTGGGTGCTTGCACACCATAAAAATGGATTTTAATAAAACCTCCCTTGCTCCAGCACCAGGCTCAAGCACAGTAGCTGGAGGGATGGAGCGTAGGCTCTGGTCAGCCAGGTGATTGTGCTTTCTCTCCTCAGCTATGGATTTCCCTCAGCACAGCAAGCAGGTCCTGGAGCAGCTGAACCAGCAGAGGCAGCTGGGCTTGCTGTGTGACTGCACCTTCGTGGTGGACGGCATTGACTTCAAGGCCCACAAGGCCGTGCTGGCAGCCTGCAGCGAGTACTTCAGGATGCTGTTTGTGGATCAGAAGGACGTGGTGCATCTTGACATCAGCAATGCAGCAGGTATGCAGGTGCGGCTCCTGGGAGAAGCCAAGGCTGCACTTGGGAGAGGAGCTGTGGCCCTGAGATGGTGGGCTGTATCCTCAGCAGGTGTAAATCAGTGTGTTCCTGTTGAAGTCAGTGGAGCCGCACCAAGTCACGCCAGCTGTGACTCAGACCCAAAGTGTGCAGAACCTCCTAGAAAACATTAGTGGTGTGGTGGGGATAGTGACGTTCCTCCTGAACACTGGAGTTGCCATAGCCCAGTGTCCCGTCTCTGACAGTGCCCAGCACCAGACGCCCCAGAGTGCAGGACCCATGAAGTAACAGACATGGGATAATCTGACCTCATTAAGGTCTCCTCCTAATCCTAATAGAGACTGGTTTAAACCCTAAAGCATAAGGTTTCTAGAACTTGGTTTGTAATAACTGTTATAACTCTGCCTATTCTTGTTATCCATGAGAAATGTCCACTCGCTCTTTGAATCTTGCTAAGTTCTTGGCCTCAATGACCTCCTGTGGCAGGGAGTTCCACAGCCTCATTATACTTTGTGCAGCAAAGTATTTTTCCTTTGACCAGTTTTGGACTTGCTACCTTTCAGTTTCATTGACTGTCCCCTGGTTCTTGTGTTACGAGACAGAGAGGATAGCAGCTCCTGCTCTTTCTTCTCTAAACCATTCATTGTTTTATATGACTTTATCATGAATCCTTTTATTCATCTCCTTGTGTCTCCACTTCGGAGACCATACCGGATAGCTATACTGGCATAGCCGCCTACAATAGACGCAGCCTACACCAACAGAAGAAGGTTTTTTTGCTGATGCAGAGAACTCCACCTCCCCGAACGCCATTAGCTAGGCCCTCTTCCATCAACACTGCTGCATCCACACTGGGTGGGGTTGTTGACATAGTTGTGCCAGTCAATCGTGTGGGTTTTCTCATGCCCCTGACTGACACAGCTATGCTGATATAACTTTTCAGTGTAGACCAAGCCCAGTCTTCTCCATATCTCTTCACAGGGAGTGTTTTCATGCCCCCAATCATTCTCATCACCCTTCTCTGAACTTGTTCTAATTATACAATATTATTTTCTAATGGGATGACCAATTCTGTGCACAGTATTCTAGAGGTGGGAGGGTACCATCAATTCAGATCGTGGCATTACAGTTTTTTTCATATTATTCTCCATCCCATTCCTTATGCATCCTACCATCTTGTTTGCTCTTCGACTGCAGCTGCTCATTGAGTAGAGGTTCCCATTGAATTATCATCGGTGATGCCCTGATCTCTTTCCTGAGTTGATCAATTCGTTCAGAACTCTGCTAGGTTCATGAACCTGTCTGGTTTAAATTTTTCCCTCCAATGTGCATTGTTTGGCATTGATCAACACTGAATTTCGTCTGCCATTGTATTGTCCATTCACCTAGCATGATTAAGTGCTGAAGTTTCTCTGTCTTCTCTGGGCTTGACTAACCTAAATGACTCTGTGCCTTCTGAGAAGGTTGCCTCCTCACTGATCATTCTTTCCACCTCATTTCCAGATCATGAATAAATATATTAAACAACTCAGGACCTGGTAGGAACCTAGCGGCACCCCACTGTTAATCTTTTATGATGGAAACTGGCTGTTTATCCCTATTCTTAATTATTTTCTGTCTTTTAGCCAGTTTTTGATCCATGACAATACCTTGCCTCTCCCTCCATGAATACTTAGCTCCTTTAGTAGCTTCTTGTGCAGAACCTTGTGAAAGGTCTTTTGAAAGTTGAAAGGATGTTCACAGGTTCTCCGTAAACCATTACCTTATTGACGTGTTCAAAGAATTCTGATACATCAGTGAGATGACACCCATCATATCATGATCTTCCACGTGTTTTGTTGTTCTATTTTTAGTTGTCCTTTCAACCAACGTACTAGGTACAGATGTAGGACTTGCTCGTCTGTTGTAATTCCCTGAGTCACCCCTATGGCAGCTCAACAGCCAGCCAGATACAACCTATTGGATTCCTGTTTGGCCAGTACCCTATACAAACACGCACCACTGTAGAGATAGCTGTCTAACAATCATCTAAAGGGAAAAGGGAAACAGTGATCCTGCCAATATATAGTATATGCCGAATAGCTATTACTTCAGTATGTGTGGTTGGACAGATGTGCATCGCGTCTGGAAGCTAATGGTCTTAGAGTAGAACAGGAAGATTTTTATTGTTAATATTAGAAGAAGATTCATTAATTGTCTTGCGTTAGCACTTAAAGGCTCCCACCAAGATGCAGAGCCCGTTGTGCTAGGCTCTGTACTAACACCATCGTTAGAGACAGTTCCTGCTTCAAAGAATTTCCAGTCAAAACAGACAAGCCAAAGGATGAGAGAACAGAAGTATTATTATCCTCATTTTACAAATGGGGCAATGAGGCCCGGAGAGAGGAAGGGACTCACCCAAGGCCACACAGGGCGTCTGTGGCAGAGCCAGGAATTGAACCGAGGTCTCCTGAGTCCCAGTCTAGAGCCATAACCACAGAATCATCCTGCCTCGCTCTGACATTCCTCAGGGTACAGTCTGGACTGCTGAACTGCTGGGTCCCTTCAATTCTCCAGTCTGTGGTGCCTTTTACACTGCTTCACTGTGAGAGCAACCACTCCTGGTCTGCTGTCACACAGCCTCTAGCATGTAAATTACTCCCAGCTGAGTTATATGAGTGCTTTTAGCCAACCACTCCTGAATTGTATTGCAGAGTGACACCAGCGTATTCCCAGTCCCAGACTTGTCCCCAGAAATGTGCATTTTGTACTTCCCAGCTCTTTCCTTCTGTGCAACACAAGCTCATAGAAAGTCCGTCATTTCATTAATAGAAAATGATATGCACAAACCATGGTATCTCAAATGGAGTTTCCCAAACACTTCAATCCAAACACACACTGGTTTAGATAAAACAATAAAACAAGTTTGTTAGCTACAGAAAGATAGATTTTAAGTGATTACAAGTAATGAGGCATAAAAGTCAGAATTGGTTACAAAGAGATAAAAGATAAAATGCAACTAATACTTAATAAGTTAAGTGAATTCAACACAAAAGTTTTATCTCACCACCTGCTCACAGCAATCTGGCTGGATCCCTTCAGCCATGACCACTCCCCCAGTTCAATGATGCTTCCTTTTTCTTTCAAATGTTGGTGCTGTGAGTAGAGGTGAGAGGTGATTTGAGGTCTCTGTTCCTGATTTTTGTATCTTTGCCTCCTCTTTGAGAATCATCACCAGCTGGGGTTCAGGCAATAGCCAGTCTGTTTGCACGGGAACCCCCAGCTGTTCTGTTGCCAAGATGTAAACTTCTCGTTCACATCTTTCTTCCTGCCAAAGAAAAGCTGTTTACCCAGGTGATGCTCCATTTGATTTTGTTGACACTTGGCTGAGGCGTCAGTTTGCCTTTTGTCTCTGGTGAACTGGTTTGGGCTGCTTCCCTAGACTTGGAATATGTCTTAGACAGTAACACTGTGGCCACATATGTTTTACTAGGACAATAATGTTCAGCAGATTATGAGTTTTCGAATGATACCTCACAAGGCATACTTTGTACAAAATTTATCATAGTCTTATAAAAAGGATGAATATAAGGGTACAGACAGTCACACTCGCTGAGTTCAAGATCTTATTTATTTCAGCCTACAGAATTTTACCTTCCCCCCTCTCTTGTGCTAAACTAACTCTAACAATGGCACCAGCTGGTTAAAGTATAATTATTTGTTACTCTTACCTAGAAAGTAAGAATCTGGCATAGTTTGGGGTAGGCTTTTCAGGGAGTTTTATTGCAGCATATCGGATAAATTTCTAGGGCCTTTGAATCAATGGGAGTTAGCCACCTAAATCCCTTTTAAAAATCTGGCCTTCAGTCACTAGTGCATGTTCAGTCTCTAAAATGTTGGCAACTTAGCTTGCTATGAAAAAGGCCACTCATCTCTGGAGCTTTGATTTGTGTTTATTTTATTTCTGGGTCTGTTTTATTGCAGGCCTTGGTCAGGTACTGGAGTTCATGTACACAGCCAAGCTCAGCCTGAGCCCAGAGAACGTGGAGGATGTGCTAGCAGTTGCCGGTTTTCTCCAGATGCAGGAAATTGTCAGTGCTTGCAATGCTTTGAAGTCTCTCACCGTGTCAGCTGAACCCCATTCAGAAAGCCACAAGGTCCCTGAAGTGACCGGTATGCAGCCTTCTTACCCCCTGGGGCTTCCCGTTCCCCATAGGAATATGTTCAAAACAGTTCTCAGGGGATGCTGGTTCAGCCAGGATTTGATTGCTCTCTTTAGTGTGGATCTGTTACTGAAGCATACTTAAATCAGGAAGCAGCTGAGAGGAGAAGCTAAACACTGATCCATCCCCAGCCAGATGTTTTCTTTACTGTAATAAGCTGGCCTGTAGACTGTGGTGAACTCAGTGGTTAGTCAGTCAATAAAGAACATTTCCTTCCAAAAGAAATGTAAGGAAGGTGCAGGTGAGGTCACCCCAAGCTGTGCATGTGGCCTGTGAAGCCGCAGATCGGAATGCAGAACATTGGCTCCCAGGCTTTGGGGGCAGATGAAGAGCACAGCTACACCTGGCAACGTCCATCTCCTGGTCACTGGCTGCTCTGTCCCTCTCTGTAGCTTCAGTGGCTCCAAATCCTAATCTTGGCACTGCAAGACTTAGGGGACAGGGATTTGGTGCACTAAGGTTGGTCAGACATGCAGCACGTTTCAGTATTGCAAATCATGAGTCCTGGCTTAGATCTGTTCCCTCTAACTCACCCTCCCCAGATATAGATGAAGCTTTTGTATCCGTCTCACCCCCATGGATGGCACCAGGCGTCATGTGTTTGCTACTAAATGTTAGTTTTCCTTTCTTGTCCCTCTGTTAGTATGTGTCGATACTTAAGACAATTAGTGCTATTGGCTGGCCTTGCTGACTGCTGTGTCCGTTGTTTGGACTCTCGGAGAGTACAATGCGGCAGTTCTGGTTGCTTTGCCCCTCTGTTGTCTCCGAATGCGAAGGGAGTGTGGTTTGCTTGTGTGTGTTTCCCCGGCAGGGGACGAAAAAGCACCTGAAGAAGGTAAAGCAGCAGCAGCAGAAACGTTCGGTGAACTCGACAAAGCTGAGCAGGTCCCGTCCAAGAGACAAGAGGAGGAGGAGGTGACGGAGGCTGCAGCAAAGCCAAAGGACAAAGAGCCTGAGGAGGAGGGCAGCAAGGAGACCAGCGTCAGAGCAGGTCAGCCCGAGGAAGGTTATGTATAGAAAGTGAAGGTAATTAAGCTTCCCGGCTTCACGCCTTCACTTGTGCTGCCACTAGCCCTTGGGGCAGCCTTTCGCCTCCCCCACACCCCTTACTCTCTCCTAATCCTTTCCACAGCCCTCCCTGCTCTGCCCTCCCCACCCCCGGGGATCTGTTTAGCTGAGCTGCTGCCAGGCTGCCCTGTTTCCGCACAGCACATCGCAGCCGTCGCAGTGAATGGTTCGAACGTGCTCTTCTTTGTTTCTAGGTCCAGGCGACGCTGTACGGGAGGACTCTCCCTCTGAGATGCCCAGTAGCCAGCAGCCAGAGGGTACCAGGCCCAACAGTGCCAGCCCGGCTGCAAAGTGCAGCTCCTCCCAGAGTTCAGAGCAAGGTGCTGACCTACAGCTGGCACAGGATGGTGGTTTGCCATTTTGAAATGAAAGTAGTGACAGTAACTTCCCCCCCTTACATCCAGCTTTGTCGTCTCTGCATCCTTTGGCACAGAGGAATAGCTCCAGACCCCAGGCTCCTCATGGCTACACCCCCATACTTGTCAGATGTTTCTGCCCTGTGTGTTTGATTTCACCAGTGTGGAGCTCGCTGCTCCCTCTGGTTCTCGCCCAGATACTTGGCTGCTCCCAGCTCCACAGGGAACAGGCCCGAGTGGAATGCCACAGAAGGATGTGAAGTCGGATTGGAACAGGTGTCACTGTATGCTGTACAGCCCTTGCTGTTGCAGCAGGCCATGAAACCTGCAGCCTGGGCTGTCTAGTTTGTCAAGTACATCAGGATTGCATTGCTCTGAGCAGCAAATAGCTGGAGCTTAAGTTGGGAATTTTAAGGGCTGTAGTTTTCATTGGTGCAGGAGCTTACATTTGAAAATAGAGGAACTGAGGATCATCCTGCTTGTTAGATACATCCTGTTTGAAAGCACGGGACTTCCCTGGGTTTTGTATACATAAACCTAGATCCCTTTCATGCTGGCAAAAAGCTAATACCCCTAGAGGAGGAGGAAACCTAGCCTTTCAGCATACCACAGCTGGGCAGGTGAGCCAGGCACGGGGGAGCTGTTGTGAAACACCAAGAATGGTTAGAAAAAGAATGAGGAGTCCGGTGGCACCTTAAAGACTAACAGATTTATTTGGGCATAAGCTTTCATGGGTAAAAAAACCCACATTTTCAGATGCATGGGGTGAAAATTACAGACGCGGGCATAAATCTACTGACGCGCAGAGAAGGCAATTTTCCCTCTCTTGGTATTGACACCTCCTCGTCAATTATTGGGCGTGGACCACATCCACCCTGACTGAATTGGCCTTGTCAACCCTGGTTCTCTGCTTGTAACTCCCTTCTCTTCATGTGCCAGTATGAAAATGCCTGCATCTGTAATTTTCACTCCATGCATCTGAAGAAGTGAGGTTTTTTTTACCCACGAAAGCTTATGCCCAAATAAATCTGTCAGTCTTTAAGGTGCCACCGGACTCCTCGTTGTTTTTGTGGGTACAGACTAACACAGCTATCCCTCTGATGTTGGTAAAAGCATTTCAGTAGCTTTAATAGAGGCACGTAGAGAAGTTACAGTAACTCTAGACAACTTTTTCCATTAAAGCGGTTGCAGATCTCACATCCCAAGCAATGAGAGAGGCCCCATGTCCCAGGCAGCACATTAGTCCTGAATTATGTTGGGGACGCCAGATCTGTGTGGCCCTGTTCCCTGAGCCCTCTCTGCTGCTCCAGCACGCAAACACCAGAAGGGCACGGAGGGATCAAATCAGTTCCAACTTCTGTGCACTTTAGGAAGTGTATGGGCGTCGGGTGAAAGTAAGTTAGAGGACTTACCGGTACGCCGGAGTCCCGAGCAGGGGGCTTGACCTCAACCAGAAGAGGCAGGGCCTTAAATCCCCGGGCCCTTTCAATCTTGATTTAAAGCGCCAGGGCTCCAGCTGCGGTCGTGGTGGATGGGAGCCCAGGGCCCTTTAAATCACCCCCGAGCTACCAGCTGCAGAGGCGGCTCGAAACCCCAGGGCTTGGGGGCAATTTAAAGGGCCCAGAGCTCCAGCTGCCGCTACCGCAGTGGAGCCCCGGGCCCTTTAAATCACTGAGGAGCCCTGGGGGCTCCCAGCTGCCACCGCTACCCCAGGGCTCTGGGCTCTGGCAGAGCTTTAAAGGGCCTGGGGCTCCGCTGTGGTAGCAGCTGCCGGAGCCCCAAGCCCTTTAAATCCCCGCCTGAGCCCTGCTGCCCGAGCCCTGGGGTAGCGGTGGCGGGGATTTAAAGGGCGAGGGCGGTAGCAGCGGCTGGAGCTCCAGAGCCCTTCAAATCCCAGTCCTGCCGCCGCTACCGCAGGGCTTTAAATTGCCCTCTGGGAAAGCCGGTCCTGGTACGGCACACCGGCTCTTACCAGTACGCCGTACCGAGGCGTACCGGCTTACTTTTACCTCTGACGGGCGTGGGGAAGGCTGGCTGGTCAGAAGCCCCAAACTCCTCATGCACTGCTTCTTTAAATGCCAAACACGTCCTTTATCATATTTATAAGGTGTAGCAATTTCGGCAAGAAGTGACAGTTAGAGGCCCATTTGCATGGCCATATAATTACATTTGTACAAGAGACTCTGGGAGTAGGTGCTGAACAATGGACAGACCTGGAAACAGGAGCCTTCTATGTACAGCACAGGTACCCCACAGACAACAGCAATGCAAGCTCTCCGGTGCTGTTCTGCCAGCCTGCCCCGCTCCCACGTGGTGGCATAGCTTGGGTTCCCATTCAGGCCATGGAAACTGCTGAGCCTGCCAGCCACTCAGTTGATGGTGGATTTACTGCTGTGTAAGCACCTGTCCAATGGGAACTGAACTGAGATCGTCATACTGGGGGGCCACCAAACAGCACACCAGGGGGAAGATCTTTCAGTCACTCCCGACTCTTTGCATCGGTAACCTAGAAGTGAAAGGCCGTATCCCGTGGTGAGCTGGAGCCGGTTCGCTGGAACCAGTTGTTAAATTTAGAAGCCCTTTTAGACCGGTTGTCCCACGAGGGACAACCGGTTCTAACAGGGCTTCTAAATTTAACAACCGGCCAAAAGTGGTGCCTTAGGCTCCATGGGTGCTCTGGGGCTGGAGCACTCATGGGGAAAATTTGGTGGGTGCAGAGCACCCACCGGCAGCTCCCCGCCCAGACCCAGCTCACCTCACCTCCGCTCTGTCTCCTCCCCGAATGCACCGCCCCACTCTGCTTCTCCCCGCCCCCCCTGTTTCCCACGAATCAGCTGTTCGCGTGGGAAGCCTGGGAGGGCTGAGAAGCAAGCGGCAGCTTCGCACTCAGGCCCAAGGAGGTGGAGCGGAGGTGAGCTGGGGTGGGGGGGGGTGCGAGGAGGGCGGCCCGTGCCGCAGCAGGTAACTCAGGGGGCACGCAGTGGAACTGCTCCCTGCCCCAGCTCACCTCCGCCTCCCAGGGCTTGAGCGCCAAGCTGCCGCTCACTTCTCAGCCCTCCCAGGCTTCCCGCGCAAACAGCTAATTCACGGGAAACTGGGGGGGGGGTGCATTCGGGGCGGAGCTGGAGCCGGGCGTGGGGCGGGGAGCTGCCGGTGGGTGCTCTGAACCCACCAAATTTTCCCCATGGGTGCTAGTGCCTAAGGCGTCATTTTTGATGTGATCAGTGGGGGAGCAGCCGCCACCCGCCCCTAGGAGCCAAAGGGACCTGCCGGATGCTTCCTGGGAGCCTCCCCTGGTAAGCACCCCTGGGGCTCCCCACCTCGCCCCCTGTCAGGTCCCTCTGGCTCTTAGGGGCAGGGCGGGGTGGGCACTCACTAGGGTGGCCCACGAGACCCTCCTGCCCGGTTCTGGGGGCAGTCAGGGGACAGGGGAGGGGGGTGGATGGGGCAGGGGTCCCCGGGGGGTGTGTGTCAAGGAACGCTGGGGGGGATGGGGCAGGAGTCCCAGGGGGCGGGCCACGACCCCCTCGTGGGGTGAGGAGGGAACTGGTTGTTAAGATTTTGGCAGCTCATCACTAGCCGTATCCCATCACTGGTCCCTTAAGCCTGGGACCCATATTTAGGAACTATATATAGCAGGGTTGGTTGGAAGCTTTCCATCAAAACCTATTTTTGCCAAAAAACAATTTGGCATCTAAACAAAATTTTGCACAAACAGGGTCTGCTTTCCATGGAAAAATTTAGATTTTTTTTTTTCCATCAACCCGAGTAGCTGAAAACCAAAATGTTTCAATTCTCAAATAAAACCCCATGGAACCTCATAGGAATTGTAGTTCTGGTGTCTCATATTCCCAGTCCCTGCTCTGGGTTGGACTCCCCTGTCAGACTTGGTTTCCCCTGACGCTTTGTGGCCATGTGACTGCTGTGAAGCACCCCTTCCCCTCACACAGGGCAGGGGCTGTGGCCCAGCATGGCAGACGGAGTCTAAGCCGGGAGCCTGGCATCTCGAGGAGACTGGAAGCCTGCAGCGCTGTGGCTGCCTGTCAGATTCCAAACTTTTTTGGTTTTCAGCCGAAAAAATTCAGGTTTTGATTTTTTATTTCTGCCAAAAACTCAAAATGTCCCCTGGGGGTGTAACTCCCTTTTCCAACCAGCTCTCACACCAGGATCTTTGTCTCCCGAGTGTCCAGGCTTGTTTTATGAACCATGTGCAATGCCGCAGTCGAATTTTTGTCTCCCACCTTTTATTCCTGGTTTTCAGCATCCCTCTGTCTCCTAAACCTGCAGAAATGGAGGTGGAGCTGGAAGGGAAGGAGGAAGAGGAGGAGATGACAGCAGAGGAAGAGGAGGAAGCCAAAATCTCAGAGGAAGAGAAACCACGGTTGGAAAACGGAGACAACCCCGAGGATAACGAGTCAGGGGGCACAGACTCCGGGCAGGAGAACTCCGGGGAAGCCAGGCTGCTGCGATCAGGCACCTACAGCGACAGGACTGAGTCGAAAGCCTACGGCTCGGTGACTCACAAGTGTGAGGTAAGGCCAGAGCAGCTTCCTCTGGGGCCTTAGTTCCCCTGGACCACTGCGGGGCTGGTTCTTTACTTCGTGTGTCTTTGTCCATAGGACTGCGGAAAGGAATTCACGCACACCGGTAACTTCAAGCGGCACATCCGGATCCACACCGGAGAAAAGCCTTTTTCTTGCAGGGAATGTAACAAAGCGTTCTCCGACCCGGCGGCCTGCAAAGCCCACGAGAAGACACACAGGTACGGCTTGCTGCCAACCAAGAACAACGTGCCAGTGAGCGCCTGCTCTTCGCTGCAGCTGAGGTCAGTGCCGGCCTGCACTGCAGCCAGGTGTGTGAGCTGCAGCTCATGTAGACGTACCCGTGCTAGCTTTAATCTAGCTAGCTCAGTGAAAACAGAAGTGTGCTGTGGGCTGCCCAAGCCCACCTGATGCCCCCCACATACGTACTGGCTGGGCAGCCTGCACTGCTGCATTCTCACTTTTATTTTTATCAAGTTAGCTAGATTCACCCTAGCTTGGGGATGCCTGGACGGGCTGCAGATCCCATCACTGCGTGCCAGCAGCTGGGAGGTTGAAAGGGCTTAGTAGGTGGAGTGAGGGGCTGCTAACGGAGTGAACTCCGCTCCAGCCAGGTTGATGCACTGTCTAATTCTTCCTCTGCCTGCTTTCGCCCCGGCTCACTGTAATGCTTCTAAAGGGGTGAAGTCTCTTTGACCCAGGGAACAATCCATCTCTGCTGCCTGGCTACAGCAGAGCTCACCCATTACTGCTCACTGGAGTCCTAGTCTCTGGTGCTGACGTCTTGATGCAGGGAGGTATTCCAGAACATGCCTACGTTGACTCTCTAGGCAGGTGTCTTGTGTGAGAGTTGATCTTAGAGCTGCCAAAAGGAGAAGGATCAGAAAAGTCTGTCCTGAACAGACAAGTCAGGTGGCTGCCGTGTGGAGTCCCTCAGTCCCTTCTGAATCTCTCTTTCAGCCCTCTGAAGCCCTATGGCTGCGAAGAGTGCGGCAAGAGCTACCGGCTCATCAGCCTGCTGAACCTGCACAAGAAGCGGCATACGGGAGAGGCCAAGTACCGGTGTGACGACTGCGGCAAGCTCTTCACCACCTCGGGCAATCTCAAACGGCACCAGCTGGTGCACAGCGGGGAAAAGCCCTACCAGTGTGACTACTGCGGGCGCTCCTTCTCCGATCCCACCTCCAAGATGCGCCACCTGGAGACCCACGACACAGACAAGGAGCACAAGTGTCCTCACTGTGACAAGAAATTCAATCAGGTGAGTGGACAGTGGCTGGGGAGCTTCTCCGACAGCTTGCCAGGACCTCCAGGGGCACCCCCAGCGCCTGTGGGCAGCAAGCACCCCCACCACAGACTTGCTTGTCCTTCTGTCTGTTAGGGGGCTTATTCCTTCACCCACTTACTTCCCTGGTCCTTCTCGCATGAACAGAGAGCAACAATACCCGAAGTCCAAAGGTGCAAACAATTTGATGTTTATTGGGGTGAACTTCCAGCAAGCATGATTCCAGTTTCCTTCCTTAGTATCCTCCTTCCCAGCTCTGACACCACAGAGCCTTACACCTGTGTCCCTGTTCCCATTCCTGCCCTTAGCCAAACATGATTCCAACTTCCTTACTCCCATTCCCTGTTCCCATTTCCCCCTTTAGCAAAACATGATTCCAATTTTCTTACCCCCATTCCCTGTTCCCATTTCCCTCACCCACATGCCCACCCCCACCCCCCTAATTCCTGATTGACTGCAGACTATATAGTAAAACTTGAGTTCTGCTTTGCTATACCTTAACCAATCATGTTCCTGAAATTTAACTAACCAATCCTAACATATTGTAACATGATTATGTACCCAATTATATCCCACCACCTTAATTAGTTTACACCCAGCAAAATTAATTATACAGCAGACAGAAACAATCACAGAACCAGACAGAGATTATATAGACAAACAACAGCAAAGTGGGAACTATAATGACAAAACAATACAGAAGTGAGGATTTCACATCCCAGCTACTGATAAGTGAGTTCTTGCCAGACAGGATGCTATCAAACTAAGTTTCCTTTTACATTTTCTAGGCACTTCCCTTTCTCTGGAGGTGATAGGAATACAATCCTGTCCTGATAGTGCCTAACAGCCCAATAACACCTTATTTCAATGTGACTGGTTTGGAATGTGAGGATGTGACTGTTCGCTTCCTAGCTTATGGCTGCCTCTGCTGCTTAGCCAAAGGCCTTAGCCTAAGAACAGGGCCTGAGATTGTCACAGTAAGAGAAGGCCCTTACACCAGCAGACAGTGATTTTGATTCTTCTTTTATATTTCTAGAACTAGCCAAGTGATAAGAATACACCTAAATTCTTAAAGTACAGGCCTTTGCAGATAGGCCTGAATATCTTTATCCTAACACTGTCTGCCAGAGAAGTTGCTGGTTGGGTTGCATTCACCAGCCTCGAATCCAGAGCCGCTGGAGGGAAGCCGATCGCGGTAAATGGGTCTCTCTGGGCTGCATCTCCTGTTTGCTATGGGGTCTGAAGTGAGCTGTAGTCTCTAAGGTGCCACAAGTACTCCTTTTCTTTCTATGGTGCCAGCTTCTGATTTCAACACAGGCTAGTGCCCCGTGCCTGGGTGGCTTCTGGTTTTTGACATCGGACTGCCTGAGCTCAGCCAGAACCAAAGACAATCAGCCCCTTGATGTTTCCTCTCGGACCAGGATGATGGTTCTTGATATCCTGCCAAGTCTGTGTGAAGGAAGCACCGTACCAAAGCGGGCACCTTTGCCAGGCTTTGGTCTAGGTAGCAATGCTGGATTGCTGGGCTGCACTGGCTCACAGCTGTGTGGACACCTTAACCAGACCTCCAGGGGTATTTTATTATGGAGCTGATATTTCAGCGTCCTCTTTGATATCAGGTTCTCTTCACCATGCCCTTGAGTTTCCTGAGTACAGGAGGTGAAGATTCAGCTTCTAGTTAGGTGCTGAGTGGGGCTGGATGTGCTGGGCACCCAGTGTGTTCCTAGGGAGCCAGTCCCCTGCTCAGGTCGGTCGTACGTCAGGACTAGCAATGGGATCGTTTCCAGCGAACGCTGCATCCTCTGCCTTTCTCCATCTTGCTCCCGAAGCTGTTGCTGTCCGCGAGGCCGCAGCACCCTCTTCTTGAGAGAGCTGGAGCTGAACCTATGCCCCCGGTCCAGCACCTGAACCCCAAGGCCAGATTTGGGTACAGCACGAATGCCGGTTTGCCACGAGTATGCAGCACGAACCCAGGACGAAGCAGTGGCGGATTAACAGATTTCACACGTCTGTGCTACGCTAACATTGTCACTGCAGTGCTGCTAGGGTCACCAGGCGTCTGGTTTTTGACCAGAATGCCCAGTCGAAAAGGGACTCTGGCAGCTCCTATCAGCACCGCTGACCGGGCCATTGAAAGTCCGGTTGGCGGCGCAGTGGGGCTAAAGCAGGCTCCCTGCCTGCCCTGATTCCGCGTGGCTTCCGGAAGTGGCTGGCGTGTCCAACTCCTAGGCGCAGGGGCCAGGGAGGCTCCGTAGCTCCCACTGACCAGGAACTACAGCCAATGGGAGCTGAGGGGGTGGTGTCTAGTTCCCTGGCCCCCTGTCTAGGAACCGGACATGGCGGTCACTTCCAGGAACGACCTGAGGTAAGCTCCACCTGGCCAGAACACGCACCCCTCCCACACCCCAACTCCCTACCCTAGCTTGGAACCCGCACCCAAACTCCCTCCCGGAGCCCAAATCCCTGCCCCAGCCCAGAGCCCCCTCCTGCACCCCAAACCGCTCATCCCCGGTCCCACTCCAGAACCCAAACCCCCAGCCGGAATCTGCATCCCCAGCCAGAACCCGCACCCCAACCCTCTACCCCACGTCTGAGTCCCCTCCTGTACCCCAAACCCCTCATCCCTGGCCCCACCCCAGAGTCTACACCCCCAGCTGGAGCCTGCACCTCAACCCCTGTCCCCAGCCCTGAGTCCCCTCCTGCACCCCAAAGCCCTCATCTCCGGCCCCACTCCAAATTCTGCACCCCCAGCTAGAGCCCTTAGCCCCCCCCTCCCTGCACTTCAACCCTCTGAGCCAGCCTGGTGAAAGTGAGTGGGGGAGAGGGTGCGGGAGAGGGGGTGACAGAGGGAGGGGAGATGGAGTGAGCTGGAGGTGAGGCCTTAGGGAAAGGGTGGGGCAAGGGCAGGGCCTCTGGGAAGGGGCAGGGCAGGGGGAAAGGGTGCTCGGTTTTGTGTGATTAGAAAGTTGGCAACCCTAAATGCTGCCCACCTACGTGCTTCTAATGTACACAGGGCTGCCCACAGCAATCCCTCTGTTCCCAGAGGGCAGCAAGGCTCAAAGGAGCTGTTTTGTCTTCCTGCAGGTGGGGAATTTAAAGGCGCACTTGAAGATTCACATCGCGGACGGGCCACTGAAGTGCCGGGAATGCGGCAAGCAGTTCACCACGTCAGGTACCATATGGGGCACAGGTGGTTGGGTACAAGCGTGTTCACGCTTGGCTGTCTCCTGGCATTTGCAGACAGCGCCACCTAGAGTAGAGGCCGTGGCTTTGCATGCTTAGGCTGGCTTGGGAAGAAGCATTAGGGGTGGGGTGAGCTACTCTTCAGTGAGACACCAGACCTCAGAGACACTCAGTGAGACACCAGACCTCAGAGACACTCAGTGAGACACCAGATACTCAGCATGGGCGCAGCATCCCTGAGGTCAAGATTTCCCAGGGGCACCCCCTGCTTGGAAAGAAAGCACTGCTTAGGTTAGCAAAAGGAACTTCTGGCACTGCTAGAAGCAAGCCTAGCTCCCTTGTAAGGTGGCAGAGGGACAGCTGGTACCCTATTCACTATCATCAGCCCCAAGACTTCAAGGATCATGAGTCAGGCCCCAAAAGATCATGAGTTGGGCTTAAGACATGCATGATTTAAACAGAAATAAATAATGAAATTGTGGTGGTGGTTTGCCCTCAGGTATCTGAGCCTTTAGGGGTCAGAGCTCCAGGCTTTTCTCTGTAGCCATGAAGGCTAGAAAATTTCTGGTTTTTAAAATGGAAGCTGAGATTCTTGTGTAATCACCTGACTCCAGGAGCTGGGGCTTTAAGAAGAACACCAAATATGGCGAGACCTGTGCTGCCAACCTGAGAGCTGACAACGCTGCCCATTAGCATTTAATACAGTGGGGGAGTTAAATCTAAAATCCTCTAAAGCCACTGCTAGGGTCAGGCAGTGGGAGTCACTTCTTGATCTGAGCCATTTCTGCCGCCCTGGATTGCTGTTTGCCAACGCAAAGCACCCCTCATGGCATAACATGGATCCCTCGCTTCCTGCTGCATTGCGTATGGCTGAGAGCACACTAGCCAGTGTGTATTTGTGAAACAGGCTAGAAATCCCGGGGCCTCCCCGAATGTTGCACTCAGTAACTGAACAAAGCCCTGGCTGGGATGATTTACTCGGGGATCGGTCCTGCTTTGAGCAGGGGATTGGACTAGATGACCTCCTGAGGTTCCTTCCAACCCTGATATTCTATGATTCTATGAACAATACCCATCCCTGTGGCCTCAGCAGAAATGGAAAGCTAAGGAGGCATGAGGCCATGGAAAGTGCCCGCTCTCGTTTGGTGCCGGGTGCTAGCTGGGCCTGTGGGCGTGGAGCAAGAGGATTTCTCACCGGCTGAGCACATACCGAGCGAGCCAGTCTGGAGGGGGTGGGGGGAGCACTCATGCACACAGAGCCCTCTGGGCTACTGACTTCCTCTTGTCTGGTCCTCCAAGGGAACTTGAAGAGGCACCTGCGGATCCACAGTGGAGAGAAGCCGTACGTGTGTGTGCATTGCCAGAGGCAGTTTGCAGACCCTGGGGCCCTGCAGCGGCACGTTCGCATTCACACAGGTAGGGAACCCCAGCCTGGGCCAGCGAGAGACCAGGCCCCGAGACCCCCATCCTCTTGCTCCGGGGCCTAGACTCAGCTCCAGCTCTGCCGATGAGACAGCAGGGGCTGGTGGGAAGCAAAGCAAGAAGCAGGACTGGGGCCGGGCTGACTTTGCAGGGCCACGTTCCTCTCTGACCTCTGCCAAGTGCCAGCAGTAGCTGCCAAGAGGCTTTGGTTTCGCGTGTCTGTTGTGCAACACACAGTGGGGTCTCCTGTGTGCACAAACACAACAGCTGTGTGTTTCTAGCCCTTCAGAACACTCCCCCTCCCGCCCCACGCCCAGGGGCCTGTGCTACCCCCTCCCGGGATTCCAGAGCATATGTATGTACTCGGCGTACCCCAGTGTAGTGGGACAACCAGGCCTGGGTCCTTCGGAGACCTGGTCTGCTGCCCATCATCGCAGTATCTGGGCGCTCTCTGTGTAAAATCAACAGCAAAAGCGAAGTCTCTGGTGGATTCTTGGGGTCTCTGACACTCACCCCATTTTGGTGCCAGAGCTCTATTTGGGAGAGCGTAGAGCCGACCTGCCCAGCCAGGCTGTAACTCACCAGAGCACAGACTGGTGGCTGCCCGGGGTCAAGCAAGTGGCATAAGAAGCCGATGTGCTCAGTGTGACCGTAGTAATGACACACTGCTGATGAGCAACGGAACAGTGCTGTTGTGACAGACATGCCGAGGGCCTGGTCTGAGACATGGTCTCCTCTTTATACCCCTCCTGCCATACACTGGCCCATTCCTTTAGCTCGTTAAAATGACTCCAGATAATTAAGTCCAGAGCAGACTGCGAGGAGTTACAAAGGGATCTCACAAAACTGAGTGACAAAATGGCAGATTAAATTCAGTGTTGATAAATGCAAAGTAATGCACATTGGAAAACATCATCCCAACCATACATATAAAATGATGGAGTCTGAATTAGCTGTTCCCACTCAGGAAAGAGATCTTGGAGTCATCGTGGATAGTTTCCGAAAACATCCACTCACTGTGCAGCGGCCGTCAAAAAAGCAAACAGATTATTAGGAAACATTAGGAAAGGGATAGATAATAAGACAAAAAATATCATATTGCCTCTGTATAAATCCATAGCATGCCCGCATCTGGAATACTGCGTGTAGATCTCCAAACAGAGATATTAGAATTGGAAAAGGTTCTGAGAAGGGCAACAGAAATGATTCAGGGTGTGGAACAGCTTCCGTGTGAGGGGAGAGTAAAAAGACGGGGAATTTTCAGCTTGGACAAGAGAGGACTAAGGGGGGAGTTGATTGAGGCCTATAAAATCATGACTGGAGTGGAAAAAGCGAATCAGGAAGTGTTATTTACCCACTCTCATAACACAAGAAGTAGGGGTCACCCAATGAAATTAAGAGACAGCAGGTTTAAAACAGACAAAAGGAAGTATTGTTTCACACAACGCACAGTCGATCTGTTGAACTCATTGCCAGAGGATGTTGTGAAGGCCAAGACTATAACAGGGTTCAAAAAAGCACTAGATAAGTTCATGGAGGATAGGTCCATCAATGGCTATTAACCAGGATGGGCAGAGATGCCCCTAGGCTCTTTTTGCCAGAAGCTGGGAATGGGTGACAGGGGATGGATCACTTGATGATTATCTGTTCTGTTCATTCCCTCTGGGGCACCTGGCCTTGGCCACTGTCGGTAGACAGGACACTGGGCTAGATGGACCTTGGGTTTGACCCAGTCTGGCTATTCTTATGTTGTGCCATGTCTGAATGAGAGTCGGCTCCTCGGAGCGGCTCATGTGTCCCTTTGGGCCTCCCAAGCACGTGTGAAGCGCCCATGTCCATCCATCCCAGAGCTCTTCATTTCAGGCCCCTAGGGGTCAAGTGAGCTGCCTCTTTCCACCAGCTTGGGAAAGGCCTGAAGCAGCAGAGCCCCCAGGATCTCTAGACCGCTGCCCCTATGGCCATGTGTGAGGCAGCTGGATGGGGTGGCACCCCACTGGCCGTAGGCATGGGTGGGGTTGGGGGCTGCTGCGTCTGGCTGCTGAGCTGTGTGAGCTCTCCCCGTCTCTCCCCAGGCGAGAAGCCCTGCCAGTGCCTGATCTGTGGCAAGGCCTTCACGCAGGCCAGCTCCCTCATCGCCCACGTGCGCCAGCACACCGGAGAGAAACCCTACGTGTGTGAGCGCTGCGGCAAGAGGTGAGGCCCCGCCCCCCTTCCCAGGCTCCTGGCTGGGCCCCGCCTCCCTCCCAGGCAGCCCTGGATCTTAGCCCAGCAAATACAGCAATGGGGCTCAATTCTTGCCGCCCCGTGGGGATCCCCTGCTACCCACGTGTGCTCCTGCAGCCTGGGCACCTCGCCCGCTGCACAGGATCTAGCTCCGGCCTGGCAGAGGAACAGTTGCTTTCGTTGGTTTGGCGCTTTCTTTCCCTTATGGTCCTGGGGAGGAGCGGGGTGAGCGCCAGACTAGTCTGGGGAATCGCCAGTGAAGCACAAGGGTTGTTGTGCCCAGCTGAGGATGGGAGGGGTCTGCCAGCCTGGTGCCAAGGGACTGCTTCCATTCCCAGGGGGTGCCCGCAGTGGGAGAGATCAGAGCTCTATGGTTGGGCCCTGGTTCTCTGGGAGCTGGTCTCCTCTCAGCCTCGCTGGTACCCCTTGGTCCTGAGATCAGCTGCGGGGTTGGGCTGCACATGGCAGGGGACGCAGGCGAAGGGTTCTCAGTGGGGCTCTTAGCTCCGAGGGACTAACCTTCAGAGCACAGTCCAGGCCCATCTCTGCTTGTGCCAGGACATGCGCCACTTGGCACTGGACAAAGTGCGGGGTGGGGGGGTGTGATTTTGCCATTTCTTGGCCTGGCCTATGCTTGACTGCATGTTGTCAGAATGATTCTCTGTCCAGGGCTGGGGATTGTTACGATGGGGCTCCGCATTCGGGGGCCATTTGATGGGAGCCGAGCATGTGAGCTTATCCCGTCTCTTTCCGGTTTAAAGGGGCAGGGCTGGCGATGGGAACCTGGGGGCACAAGGTGCCCACCTGCCGCATGCTCCCAGCCGTTGCAGGCTGCACTGGGTCAGCTCAGTGAAGAGGCTGTAGGCTCTGAACCAGGCCTTCTCTCTGCTTTCAGGGGAGGCCCATGCGTCAGACTGATCTCTGTGCTGGGGTCCTAGGACTGCACCCAGCTCCCTCGGCTCCCCACTAATGGCCTCCCCCTTCCTCCCCACTAGGTTCGTCCAGTCCAGTCAGCTGGCCAACCACATCCGTCACCACGACAACATCCGACCGCACAAATGCAACGTGTGCAACAAGGCCTTTGTGAATGTGGGCGACCTCTCCAAGCACATCATCATCCACACCGGTGGGTCCCACCTCCCCCTTCCGGCAGACACAGCTTCTTCACCCACCTGGAAACTGCTGGGCCCCGCAACCTGGAAAACCCATGGGGAGAAGGCCCTTCTTGCCGGGCACCTGCTTGCGACCCGACTGGAAAAGAATCATGTCCCACTCATTAGCAGATCTGCCCCTGCACAGCCATGGGGAGATACCATGGGTCAGAGCCAGGCACACGCTGGGTTGGGAGAGGGTGGCGAGGGGGATCCCGGCAGTCCTGTTCCTCACCCATGTTTGGGGTCTTGATTATTCTGTGCTCTTGAAACGACCTGGGCATCCATCCAACAGGCTGTGACCGACCCCCTGGCCCTGCCCCTGAGCCATCTCCGTTCCCCCCTCCTGTAGCGTTTCCCTGCAGAGTTAACCCAGGCCGGGGCTTGGTTCCGTGCAGGAGAGAAGCCATTCCTCTGCGACAAGTGTGGCCGCGGCTTCAACCGCGTGGACAACCTGCGCTCCCACGTGAAAACCGTGCACCAGGGCAAGGCCGGCATCAAGATCCTGGAGCCGGAGGAAGGCGACGAGGTCAATATCGTCACCGTGGCCTCAGACGACATGGTCACCTTGGCCACGGAGGCGCTGGCAGCCACGGCGGTCACGCAGCTGACAGGTGAGCCTGGGAGTCTCCCTGCACTGTTAGCAGAGCAGGAGCCACCCTCCCTGCACTGGGTGTGGGGCGGGAGGGGCCTGCTGCACCAAAGGGAAACCTGGCTACGGCTCTCCGAGGATCTCGCCTCAACCTGGGATCCCAGGGCCCTTCCCCTTCTCGGTCTCTGGCTCAAGTCTGCTGCGCTGTGGAGCATGGCTGGGGGTCGTTACCATCTGAACACAGCTCGGCTGCCCTATAGGTCCTTTGACCAATTCACCCCCCGCATTGGCACTAACTGCCCACCTGTTGGCAGGCTCAGCAGCAGCCAAAGTCAGAACCGCCTGCCGAGGGAGTGCCGCTCTTGCTCCTAGGGCTGGCTCCATGCTCGTTGGCATGGGGCGGGACACCCGCCCTGCTGCTGAACCAGCTGCCCCTGCTCTCTAGGCCGGTGGAGCTGTCCCCTTCCGCCAGCACCTGCATGGAACAGGGGACTGGACTGGCAGGGACTGGACTGTACCTGTGGGCCCCACGTGGGCTCTTGAGCTAGATCAGCCGGCAGCCTGGCTGGAGAAGGGGGTGGCTGAGCACCGAGGTTCATTCAAGCCAAATCACCCTCCTTCTCCCCTCCTCAAACTGCAGTGGTCCCCGTGACAGCCGCCGTGACGGCAGACGAGACCGAAGCACTTAAGGCAGAGATAACCAAGGCGGTGAAGCAGGTGCAGGAAGCAGGTGAGGAGCAGCTGAAGGGCTGCGTTCTGGGAGAGGGGAGACGCCAGTCTGTGCACATGGGGGCTCCCCACTCCTGAGCCTATAGGGGGCATTTCCCGGCCACATACCGATTGTTCCAAGGGGAGCAAACCTGGGACCTGCTTCAGTCCCAGAGAGGAGATACTGAACTCCAGTGGTCTAGTGGCGTTCTAGGAGCAGCCCATACGTTTGGGGAGCGTCCGTCAATGCACCCTCCCCACGCTGGCCGGGAGCCTCTGGGCTGACTCACTGCAGGAGTTTGCAGGGCTCCCTTTGTTCTCGGAGCAGGTCCTCGCAGCTTGGCGTTGCAGCCGTTCTCACTGATGCAGGGCTTAATGCTCCAGCACAGAGATGCCTGATCCCTCTGCAACATCCTTCTGCCTGCGCCTCATGTCTCCAGCCCCTCTCTGCTGGCCCCGCTCGCACCAGGAGGCAGCTGCAGTTATTTCCCCGCTGAGCTCAGCAAAGTGAAGGCAGCTGTTTGCAGATCTGGGGTGACACAGAGCCCCACACGGGCCGTTAAAGGATCAGAAGACTCAGGGTTCTCCACTCTCCTGTCTGCTGGGCCCATGGGGATGGGGTCCAGAGCAGAGCAAGTTGGCGCCTTCTGCCCTTGGAGTCTAGGCTTGATGGTGATGGAGGCTGGGCAACACCTTGGGCTGCACGGGATCCTCACAGTGTTTTTAACAGTTGCGGGGTAGGGGGGGGCAAGCAATGCAGCACTCCTGCTGTCAAGGGCTCGTGGGGAACCCTGGCCTCTGGTTGGCTGGATTTGAACACTCTCCTCAGTCCTTCCATCCCTGCTAACTGTTTAGCCCATCCCCTGGGGACCGGGCAGGGTGGTTCCCTGGAGATTTCCAGGGCTATGGCCGGGCTAGTGTGTAAAGAACTCAGCCCTTTGGGTCCCTCCTGCACTCCCTGGATGGGGACTGTTCCCCCGGTGGGTGGATTTCTTCGTGAGAGGGTCATGCTGTTTGTGAGCAGGGGCAGGGTCCCAGCCCTAGCTCCCAGGGCATCTGTCCGTCTGCACGGCCTTTGGGTGAGTCACTTCCCCCCTTCGTTACAGACCCCAACACCCAGATCCTCTACGCCTGCGACTCGTGTGGGGAGAAGTTCCTGGATGCCAACAGCCTGGCCCAGCACGTGCGGATCCACACGGCGCAGGCCCTGGTGATGTTCCAGGCAGACACGGACTTTTACCAGCAGTACGGAGCCGCCACCACGTGGCAGGCTGAGCAAGTGATTCAGTCAGGGGAGCTGCTCTTCCGAGCCCGTGATGGGGCGGAGGTGCAGACCCCCATGGCTGAGGAGTGCCAGAACCCTGCAGAGTGAATCAGCAGCACCGGGCCAGTCAGGACGCCCCCAGGAGTGGGGACCAGGAGAGGAGACCGATCATGCTACAGCATTTGGCTACTAATGGTCTGAAAAAGAAGCAGGAGCGCACATGGGGGCGCTGCCGAGTCAGCTGCTGGTCACGTCCTGACCAGTTATTTAAAGACAGATCCATGGAATGATGTAAAAAATGTATTTCTGTAATGAGAGAATCCGCACTAAGTTGTGTAATATCTAGAGAAAAATAAATCCCTTATTTTCTAAATCCTATTTAAAACCGACCCCCCTCCCCGGCCGATTGGTGCTGTCTCTGCTTTCTGCCTTTTGCACTCAAACCTCCCCGAGCACTTAGGGCCAGCTGCAGAGCTACACTTCTGCTTCCAGCCTCGGGCAAAGCCCGTGGCCCGGGGCTGAGCCATGTGCTGTGGCCAGGGGCTGTGCTACCCTCCTGAGACTGCCGGATGTTACTGGGTGTTTCTGGCCCAACAAAGGGGGATTGTAGGGTGAGAACTGTAGAAAAAGCTCTCTGCTCGGGTGGCTAGAGTTGACCCAGCTTCACTGCAGCATAGCTGGGCTGAGAGAAGCTTGCACAGCCCAAGAAGACGCTGGCCAGACAAAACTTCATCCCCATCTGCTGCCCACAAGCTCATTCGGTGTCGTGACACCTCCCATGGAGCCAGTTTCAGGCCCATCCGGATCGAAGGGCCGTCTAGGGGAGCCCCTGCTGCTGCGCCTTAGAATCATAGAAATGTGGGGCTGGGAGGGACCTCGATAGGCCATCTAGTCCAGCCCCTGCACTGCTGCGGGACAAGTATCCTCTAGACCAGTGGTTCTCAACATCTTTACCATTGTGGGCCACACATACAACCCTCTGTGTATTATGTGGGCCGCATCCACACAATATATATACTATTTATATGGCCCTGAGGATGTCACATGGGCCACAGCTGTGTGCTGATTGGGCCACCTGCAGGCTGTGGGTTGAGAACCACTGATCTAGCCCATCCCTGACTGGGGTTTGCTTTCCTGTTCTTAAAACCCTCCAGTGATGGGGATTCCACATCATCCCTCGGTGATTTGTACCTGTGGGTCACTGGCCCTACAAACTGGGCCTCGGGCAGGGCAGGGCGGGCTGATCACAAGGCAGTTAAATGGGGGGGGCTGAGCTAATTCATGGAATGAGAAACAGTGGAGAGGCGAAAGGGGGAACCAGCTGCTCAGCTGGCCCCCTCCCTGTGCAGGTGCATTCGCTCTGGCCAGTGACACTTGTTCAAGGACTCAGCAGCTAAGGCGAGGTACAGGGGGAAGAGCGACCTGTCTGAGAGCCCAGGAAGGGGAAGGATGTTGTTATAAAACAACTTAGTTTGGGAGCGACTGCAGTGATCTCGCTCCGGAGCTATAGGGAGGCCTGTGCTGTCTCCCTTGTGCTGGGCTGTGTCACCCTGGGTATTGCAGGTTCTGAAACCTGCTCCAGGGGGAGCTGTCTCAGCACAGGGGGCCCAGGTGAGATTGGGCCCTGCAGCTTGGCCTCCTCTCCAGCTGCCCTTTGCTTCCCCAAGGTGGGCACTGGCAGTTCACTGCCTCCACCTGGGCTGTGGAGTTTCATGCTGCAGGCCCATCGAGCCAGCACCTTCCCCCAGTAGGAAACCAGCTCCCCCTACTCCAGGCCCACCAACCACACTTGATACCTACCTGCTCTCCAAGGGGTTCTGCCCAATCAGCCCCCTGGCAAACTGCTCCAGTGATGGGGATTTCACGGGCGGGGCCCTGCCAGCCCCAGCTTCAACACTGCACAGCAAGGGCATGTGTCTGGCTGGGAGGGTTTCTGCACAAACTCAACCGCTGGCCCTGGCAGCTAGAGGGAGATGCATTAGCAGCAACGTATGTTCCCAATGCACCACTCCTCCCAAAGGGGCCCCGACAGGCACAGGGACGCGCCCTGTACAGTGCAGAATGGGACCCTGGGCCATGGATGTGGCCCCTGCTCTCAGGCACAGCACAACGTGTGCATGAGTAATGGGGCCATTGTCTGGCACCTACAGGAGCCCAGAGTCCCCTAAGGCTGTGCAAGGGCCAGTAAGCACAGACACCAAGGGTGAAGTGTGACCCTGGCTCCTTAGTAGTTTCCCATCCCCCACCTAGCTTGATGCCACTGAGTCGGTCAGCTAGTGTAGGAGGCTCAGTATCACGGGTGGGCAAAGCTGGGTTGGCGGCTCTCAGCATTTCAGCCTTGCAGGTCTGGCCTGTCACCTGCCCCCGCGAGTGGTGTTGGCAGGGAGCAGTTTGCACCAAACAACTGACCTGCCTGTGGCCAAGGTGCCAATCCCCAACCTGCCAGCTCGTCTCTGCAAGCAAATCAGGCAGTCAGTGCCTGCAGTTCCCTGTCTGTCCAGTAGGCTGCAGTACAGCACATGCAATCCCACTGCTGGGTCCAACCTCAGAGAGGGGCTAAATTGCAGGAACCTGATGCTACAACCGCAAATCTGGGTGCGGGAGCAAAGCCAGGTCTATTACTGGAGATAAGGCTGTGGGAGCAGGGGGCTGGCTGTGGTCCAGGCGCTCATGGGGACGGGGCGCAGAGAAGAGAGCAGCCCTCAGGGACACGCCTGTGGTTACCTGCACCGAGCTGTACAGGGGGCTCTAGTCCAAGATCAGCAGGGGGGCTTTGTAGGACGGACTGAAGCAGGCAGGGGCCTTGTCTGCCATGACCTGGGGAGGGGGGTTCCACTGGTTGGCAGCAGAGGTAACAGTGCTGCAAAGGTCAATTGGAGATTTGGGGGGGAGGTAGGTGCTAGGGTGCAACCCGCCATTAAGGCGCTGGGCCCTGGCTGCAGGGGCATGGGAGGGAAGGTGTTGAGGCAAACGTGGCCTGTAGGATTGTACCCTGTGGGGCCTGGCTCACATGGGTGGGCTGCTCTGCTGCACGGGGCTCCAGTGGGCTATGGCTGCTGTTGGCTCTGGCCCGCGCACCTCTCAGTGCGCAGAGGAGGCAGGGCAGGGATGTGTCCAGGAACACACAAGCTGAGCAGAGCGCTGCACATGGGGGTTGCTACCGAGGACCCTAACCACTGACTGCACCATTCGGCTTCCCTCCCCTGCAGGGCTAAGGTAAGACACCTCCATGGGGCCCTGGCCAGGATCGGGGGACTGAGAAAGAGCTTGGCTGGGGCCATGGGGAAGGCAGGGGGCTGAGAGCCCAGCCCCGGCCAGGACTGTAGCACCCCCCAGCTCTTGGCCTCTCTCCATTCCGGCTCTGCCCCCAGACACATGAGCCAAAACCTGGGTGAAAAACCAGACAAGTGGCAACCCTCTTGAGCCAGCTAACAGCCCTGCTACAGACACGCTGGCAACTCAGCCGTTGTTCAAAAGTTCTCCGAAGACCCTGCACCGGGACGCTGCCACACAGAGCCCCCCACTCAGCATTAACTCAACCGTCTTCATTCTAGCAGAAACGAGTGAGGATTTTATTTTTTTGTTAACATGGTAAAGATGCGCCACCCCCCACGTATCTTTTCACAAGTAGCTCCCAGCCCAGCCCCACCTCACTGAGTCAGGTCACATGGACTCTGCCCAGAGCTGGCACTGGGCACTTCGCTGCCCGGGTAGGAGGGTGGCTGCATTGCTGGGATTGGGAACTATCAGAGAAGCAACTTTAATCCAGCCCCAGTAAAATCCCTCATCGTTCAAGCTATTTTAAAAAGCTGACACAAACAACCCCGTTAGGGCGGCTAGGAAGACGTATCAAGCAACTGTGTGAATTAAGCCTTTGATCTTCTGTCTATAGGGTGTGGGGGGGGCAGCTTTCCAGACAGATCATGTCTCAGCACTATGAACAAATCTCTTTAGAGCCCTGTAGCTGAGAGACGCTCCCCTCCCCGCAGCGGAACCAGCTGCTATTTGTGGGATATACATTTTGCAGCCTAAGTAGATTAGCCATGCTTTTTTACAGAACAAGTCCAAGGCACCTAGGGATTGTGCTGTTCACAGTACTGGCTGGGGGCTCTCGCTCTCACACATAAATTGCAGTTGGACCCTACTGCACGATCACATGCAGGCAGGGCTAGGGGAAACAATGGCCCAAGCACTCCAAAGAGCAGCTGCACAGGGCACTGGTTTCGGAATGATTCTCACTAAACCAATATCCACAAGGCAGATCAGAGGAGCTACTGGACTGGCCAATCCTGTTCTCTAAGGGATGCGCTGATATTCCTAGGCATTTAAATACAGCCGTGAGGGGGGTCACCCAGGAACCAAGACCGGCAGCTCAGTGGATTTTATGGGAGCTCTCCGGCCAAGTGGACCATTTCAAGCTCGATGGAAGGTTGACGACGCCCACAAGAACTGAAATACAAATTTCTATTTAATTCCAGTGTAAAACTGACCAAAACCAGCCCTGGGATCGCTGCCCAGGGCATTACTGTCGTGCTGTGTAGGGAGAGCAAATCCCAGGGGCTGCGAGCTACGTTCTGACTGGCAGCAGGTCGGGTGAGCCATGGTGCACCCTCCTGCAAGGTGCGAGGGGTTGGCTGATGTAATGGAAGGGCTTTTTCCATCTTGCTGGGTGAAATTTACCCTGCTCCAGCAGGCCCCTGCACTGCTGCCACCTGCAGCTCCTTGGGGCAGGACCTCTCTCTGTTCTGGGGCAACGCAGAGCCTAGCCCAAGTGGGTCCTGGTCCACAACTGCAGCTCTTGGCTGCTACTTCGATAGCTGTAAGACTCACCGGTCGCCCGCTGACCTGGATTTTCACAAGCACCTCCTCCCCCTTTTCAAAGGGCACCCTAATGAACTCCTGCTGGCACCGAGGCCCGAGAAGATTCTTCCCAGTTCTTTCACTGGAAAGATCCAGCAGCTGGAACAAGGAAGAGGCTGATTAGCAGCAAAGCCCAGGGTGAGCTAATGCTCAGGGACCCATTGCTGCTTTGCAGCAGCTTAGCGCAATCATCTCTGACGGGGTCTGTCAAGGGATTCTGGGGGTCCGATCATGGCCGTGCTGTCCCTGAAAGCAGGGAAAAGCCAATGGCCCTGTTGGAGAGACAGGTGTCTCCAAGGCCCATCTAGGAGCTGACACTTCACCAGAATCGTACCAGGGGAATCCCACTCTGCTGAGCAAGAGAAACAGCATGCTGGAGAAAGGGGCTTGAGATAAAGGGGACCTTGCCTGGCCTCAACCTGGCACATTTTAAACAAGGATCTCAAAGCTCTTTATATCCACAGCTATTCATTGAGCAGGGCTTGCACCCTCCGGTTACCACACACCCTCCTT